CAGTGTCTTACTTTCTTTTTATCCCCAAAAGCCCCACTATGTCTTACTTTCGGGGTATGTCTTATATTGGAAAAAAATTGTCGAATGTCGTATGAACATATGGAAAGGGGGACGGCGCGGTGACATATGGAGAGGGGGACGGCGCAGGCGTGGGCAGGAGGCGGCGCTCATTTGGATCAGACGGAGGCGGCAGACGCGGTGACGTATGGAGAGGGGGACGGTGGGGACGTAGGCAGGAGGCGGCGCACAGCTAGATGAGAGGTGTTTCCCCGAAAATTAAGACATATGTCTTACTTTCGGGGTACGGCTTATATTAGCCGACCCCCCTGAAACCCCCGATACGTCTTACAATCGGGGGTGTCTTACTATCGGGGAAACACGGTATGTCTTTGAAACTGTTGAGCGGGGGGGCGACGACACATTCACGCTTTTAGATAGATTTTTACCCAGAATGCAAATGGAAAAAGCCGTGAGTGAAACGGTGACTGGGACTGACTAGTATATATTCCATTGAGGGAAAATTAGTTTCACATCTGCTCAAGAGCCCCCTGGTGGTTGAAGAAAAATCCACATATAAACCGGAAAATAGAATATATGAAAAAAACACTGAATGCTCTCTGGTATGAGGAGGCGGGCCGGATCCGGCATTGTTCAGGGGGCCGGACCAAATGACATGGCGGGCCGTAGCTTGGGGACCCCTGGACTAGACGCTACAGTAGAGGCTGGAGTTACGCTATGCATCCACTAGATGGAGCTGCACTACAGGGAAAGTCAACAAAACAGTCCGACTCCGGTCCGTGAGGAGAGCTTTCCGCAACTGGGCCGGGGCGTAGCTGGACGATGGTCACCCTTCTCCGTTCGCGCACAGCATGTTGGTGGAGAACGTGGTGCTAAATGACCTGCAGACGACCTGATTATAGACGGTAGATAGGTCAGTCAAACTTTATTAATAGATTACAAACCAGCTTTCTGACAACTATCCCAGCATGCACCATGCACTTCTTCTATAAGCGAAAATGAAGTCGGCGGCTGCTTAACGTAGTTGCTAGACTTGTTGTGGCTCAATATTGGTCTATATATAAGGCACACCAGATTATAAGGCGCAGTGTCGGCTTTTGAGGAAATTGAAGGGTTTTAGGCGCCTTAAAATTGCAGAAAATGCTGTAATTTCTGTCCAGTAAAACTATTAATCTATAAATCAATAGACAGGGCTAAATAAAGATATAATCCATGTTTCTGTCTCATATTTGTATGGCATTAAAAGGACCTGGAACTTTTGTTTTTCCACTGAAAGCTCTGGTTTGCACAATAAATGCCATGTGGGTGAAATTTTATGGATGATACTCTGATGTCCCATTCTCCTGAAGGCAGCACAGAGCTTCACCACCAGAAACACACAGAAACTCTGAAGAGAAGAAGAGCTATGATTAATGTAGTTACAGTTCTATCCATGTTTTAATGTTTCAGAGCTCAGTCGTTTTGCAAATAGTTCAAAGTTTAAACTGGCATGTTGTTCATCTTTTATCTGGTCATTTTGTGTAATATTTAACAACTAGAAAATGGCAAAGAACAAGAATATTTTTTAAACTCTGATTGGCTGCTGTTAGGCCTACTGATTTTAACTTGAATGTTCATTGCATTTTTCATAGACACCTGTGAAAATAATTTCTATTCCCATGGCTTTTTTGTTCTCTGGGAAATTATTTTTGATGATAAATACAGAAACTAGCATAAAAATCAAAACATCTACAATAGCGATAGTAATATTAATAATAAAATAATAGTCAGTGCAAAGTAGCCTGCAGATTCTTTGGTGGGGGCGGTGAGGGACCTGGATAAAGGCTAGTGGGGCGCTGGCCCAAAAAGGTTGAGAAACACTGTTCTAGAGCAAAACTTTTTATTGAAAAATGTGCGTTTTTTAAAATTTCCGTGTTTCCATTAAACTAATTTATTTTCATAATGCCAAGTTGCACAATTTTCAATTTAATGGTCAATAGAACTGCAGATAATGTTCACTAAGATGGTGGCAGAGATTAGTGCATCCTCCTCTGTGAGGGGTTCACAAACCACCTGTTCATGAAAATATCTTTCTCTTTGTCACCATGACAACGCAGGATAAGAAATAAAACGATCATCTGAAGGAGTGCTTTACATTTAGAACCGTAAAATAAATTATCACAAAGAGCTGATGTGTTGGAATTAATTATCAGCTAGTTTGTAGCTTCTAATCTTTTCAAATGCATACTTGAATTCAGAAAGCCATTTTTATTTGCCTGCGTTAACACCATTAATTGCTGATTGGCTTTTTTTTTATTTATTTTTTTTATCCAACTCCAACACCAAGAAGTTGGCAGTTCAGGGCCTCATTATGCAAAAAAAAAAAAATAAATAAATACTCAGTGTTTACCAACAGAATCCTCATAATCACAGAAATACACTTAATTGGCTTTTGTTTATTTGTAAGCTGAAAAGGGAAATGATTTATTTGTAAGCCAGTGGAAATGATTACAGGGAGGATGACTCGCTTTTGTCATGTCGTTGCTTGTAATTTTGCTGGGTGGCTTTGTGCGTGTTGGAGGGAGACTGAAAGCCTTTTGTGGCAGCTCTGCTTTCAGCTCCGAACATGTCCGTGTTGTTTCTGCTAATGGTCCTCTGTCTGCACTCTCATACGCCACTAAATAGTGCATTGCTTTCTGATTTTGCTTTGAACATGACAGCGTGTGTTGTGAATTTGTATGTGAAGGTGTGTGTCTACTTGGCCATGCAATGTCTGTCTCCCCTTTCTTTCATTTTTGTTCTTTGGTTCTGTTTTCTTGCAGCTTCTTCTTTGGCTCCTACTGTTGGCATCAGTATGTAGATCTATGTTTATGCAGAAAGTGGGATGTCGTACCAACACACACTCTTGTTTTTAACTTTATGCAATTTACAATGGTATTCATGTGTTGTCATTTTAGAACTACAGACTTCAACATATTTTACTGGATTTCAACTCATTGGCCAAAATGTATTAGAGCAAAATTGGTTCTGTGATTTTGAAACCTTTTTGTTGTTGATACAATTTTGAAAAGTGTGCTTTTCTCAGTTCCTTCAGTTTTTCACAATTCTGCGAACAAAGAAATTCATGTGAAAGTAACAGAGCCCCACATTTTTCACACTAATGGATAGTTATTAGTTTACTGATAATTTCCCACAAAACATTGGGTTTAAGTGACTGCTAACTCTCACCTGCAAGTGACAATATTTTTTTATTTCTTCTCAGGGGTTGTGTTAACAGAATATTTTTCATCTTTTAATTTTTAAACAATGACAGAAAACTCTGAAGGCCATCTGTTTTTTGATGGATTATAATTGGCACACCTGACCACTTGGTGCAGACACACAAACATTTTCAACTTATGGAACTTATGGAAGAAACGCTCTGATGCAGCTGAACCAGTGGTGAGGACAGAGTTCATTCCACAGCATTTCCTCCTGCTGCTCCTCATTCAGAGAGTCTTACTGACTTCTGATCACTTCGTTTAGAGAAAAGTTTCCTGATTTCAAAATGTTGGTTGAGTTGGAGCTTGTAATTCCAGTCCAGTATTGCATTAAACCATGGTTTCATCCTCCCGATCAATATCAAAACTCTGAAACATTTGATTATGCACAAGGGGAGGACAATTAACATCAATGTACTTTGTTTCCTTCTTGTAGACTTTGAAGAGGGTCTAGAAGGAAAAAGTATGGAAAAATTCCTTGCAAATATTTGTAAAGCAGCACAGCAAAATATGTGGTTTGGGTTGAAATAAGACAGCAAAAAATATGAGTGACTAACTTCTATCCAGTCTCACTAATCGCAACGTTGTAAATCAGTCATTTGTTGCGATTCCAACTGTAAGTCGTTTGGGGTCTGTCTGTCTCTACATCTAAAGACAAATTTGTTTCAGCCAATTCTTCCATTCTTGTTTTTTAATTGCTGTGGATCTGTCAGACTGGGTGGAGAGCAATGATTGTGGCCATCAGTTTTTTAGTCTTGCTTCAGATTCTCAATTAGATCTGGACTGGGCCATTCTAACACATAAATAGGTTTTGATCTAATTATTTACATGGTAGCTGCATCGCTGGAGTTGTTCTCCTGCTGCAAGATTAACCTTCACCTCAGTGTTATGTTTTTACAGTCGCTAAATGGTTTTCTTCAAGAACTGCCTTGAAGTTCATCATTAACTCTGTCTGACTTTCCTGTTCCTACTGAAAAATCGCACTCCCCACAGCATGATGCAGCCACCACCATTTTTCACACGTAGGATTTTGTACCTTGTACCTGTCTGCTGTATTCCTTGGGCTTCATGATGCCTTTTGTTCTCTAATGTTCTCTAACAAATCTGAGATTTATACTTTTCATATAATTGTTTAGGTGATTACTGAAGGCAGTTTGGATAAAACTTGATTAAGTGACAGTAGTCTGAACAGGGCCAAATATAAATCCATAGCAGACTTTTTCAGAATTGTATGTAGTAAATTGTATTATTTCGGTCTTCTTCATTAAGGTCATGTTCTACTTTGTGTTGAGCTCACATAAAATTCCACTAAAATCGTCTGAAGTTTGTGGTTGTAATGTGGTGCAACACTTCCACAGGTCTGAATACCTTCCCCAGGTTCTGTCTGAATTTTAAAATGGTGTTTGTTGGTATGAGTCGTCCTGTTTTAACATGTTTTAGCCGTAGCAGGGCAGACATCAGTGCATGCTGTAGGCCTCAGTTTCAACCAACAGGAAGTGTTTTATTTGTCTGATGTTCCATCTCGCCTGACCCTCTCTGTTGTTTGCCGAGAGTATTCGGTGTCTCCTTTCATTAGAAAAATGTCAACTTCCTCACACTAAAAGTTTGTGGCTTCCTCTCTAATAACATTGCTAATGAGTAAGCTAATTATAAACTCCTATTAATTGTCCCCTATTAGCACCTGTAAATGAATGTTGACTTTTTATCCTAGCACAGCAACCTCAGTGCTTCATGTCAAAACTCTACCTAAGGTAATAAATTATGCTTTGCGTAATTTATATTGCCTTGTGTAATTTATACTGCCTTGTGTTTGGAAACTAGTGGAGCTCTTTTGTAGCACCTGTAGATGTGTAGTCACTAATTTTAGCCCAGGGTAGCGTTATGCTAACAATAGAATGTAGCTACTGTTAGCTTTGCTTCTGCTAACCACAAGATGTGCTTTTCTTTTAGAAAAGTCTCTGTCAACTCCGACCACTCCGAGGTCACATGTGACCAAACCCACTCATTCCAACATAGGTATAGCAGCAGTTCTAATACGAACAGCAAGAAAACATGTAAAAATGCTGACAAAGCTTTTTGTAAAATCAACCCAACTCACTGAAGAATATATGGCAAATGATTTTTCTTTCTTTCTTTGGGTTTATTTCAAATGTAATGGACAAAGATGACAAGAAAGGTGGGGAAAAAGTTTAAAAAGAAAGGCAATAGAGGTTAGAAAGAAGCTTAGAAAAAGCACAAGTCAACACACTAGAAGTCTGCCTCTAAACCTGCAGAAAGAGAAAAAACAAAATCGAGAAACATATGGATATATAATAATAAGAATCATATAGGCCTGTCGTGATGAATGATAAATCAATTAATCGCATGATAAATAAAACCTACCGACCTCATTTTAATTATTGACTTTATCGTCTCTTCCTGTCTTTTTTTCTTTCTGTTGATGACACTGAATGAAAAAAGGCTCAACTTCGGTGCTCTTCCTTAGTGTAATGTCTAGCATACACTACATGAGTTGTTGGCGGACTATCGACCCATTTTCAAAACCTGACAGAAATCCTAGGTATAACGGTTCGATCGGGTTCGTTGTGCCGTGTGGTGTCCAGCCACATGGGCACAAAATAATGGCTACAAGTCCAGTTAACTAATTTTAAAACCAGGCATTAATCAATGCTGTACTAGAATCTACCTGTGATGCATGTGGCTAGAGTCAGCGTAAAGTCCCGACTGAGTGAAAATCATTATAACTTATTTATGTCACGTTAACGAAGAACAGCTGAAAACCTACCGGGTTCATCAACTGCGGTAGCAATTTGGCTCCAACTCCTCTCCTTGTCATTTCTATATTCTTTGTACGAAATGTTGAATAAATATTAATGTTGTTTCCATATATCATCTCCAATGTCCCCTAAACTTCAGGTTCGCCGTGTCAGCTGTTTAGGATTTCCCTCCGTAATTTCCCCTCAAAAGCACGGAGGAGAATCCGCGCTTTCTGATTGGCTACACTCTAAGAAATAATCCTGTAAATTTACAGTCAAATACTGGCAGCTATAGACACCAGAAGTTTACTGTAAATGCACAGTAGCTGTACCGTATTTAATCCAGACAGTAGATTACCGTCAATGCAAGTACAGTATGGATACTGTGAAAGAACGGTAAAATACTGGCATCTGTAGCTGCCAGTAGTTTACCGTTCTTTCGAAAGAACGGTAAACTACCGTTTTTCTGAAAGAACGATAAAAAAAATACTGGTAGCTACAGATGCCAGGTTTTTTTTTTTTTAACCGTTCTTTCAGAAAAACTGTAAAAAAAAAAAAAGCTGCTGTCTGTAGATACCAATATTTTACTGGACATTTACCTTTTCAATCCTGTAATTACCTTTTAAAGTGCTGTACTGTAAGTAAATACTGTAATGACGCCAACACACCGCAGATGTAGTACCGTCACCAGGGTTTATTAGAAATAATAGCGAGCTGCTATTCCTTAGGCTGCAGCTCGCCCTCTAACAAATCATTACACTCAACTGAATAGCTTCACTGCTAAAAACACACTGAACTCTCCGCTCTTCCGGTGTTCTGTCAGCATTGGTCCTGGTTCTCCCGCTCCCCTGATCCCTCACCCAAATGACAGGTCCATCAAATGTGAGTGGGAGTCAGCAGTCAGACAGGGGAACCCCATAACACTCTACATGTAACAGTGATCACAATGCAACTTATAACAAATACACATAACCATATGGACACCAGCAGAACTAAAATACAGAATCGTTGAAATACTACGGTGGTCGACAGGTGCAAATGCGCAGCAAACACGAGAAAAACAAATACAACAAAGAAAAGACGCAAACAAAAAAGAGATGCAAAAAATATACATAAAAACAAGTATTCCAGACCACTAGAGCTTTGTGTCCGAATTCAGGGTCTGCATCCTTTCAAGCTTATTCTGTCATGGGCTTGAGAAACGACCCGGTCTACGGAAGAGGGGTCCTGCGAAGGCAGAGAGCATTGCAGAGAGAAGCTGTAGCCTTCAGCTAGCTGCCTAGCCTCCACCTCGGTGCTATGTTCCTTAGCAGCCGTGACACGATTTATACAATATTTGTAGGCAAGAATGTCTTCTTTGAAGTAAAAAAAAATATATATATATAAAACTAAATACAATTTGAGCTGCACATTTTCCAGTAGCACTTTATAACTACACCTTATTTAACCTTATTTAACCATTAATAGATAGTTAATTAAGGATTAATAAGCAATAAATGAATCTGACTAATTGCTCCCAAAACAAACAAACGATGTATATTCATGCTTAATAGGTCATGAAATAACTATTCTATGCACTGTGTATATATATATGTTTGCAAATATAACTTATGTATTGTCACAAAGTATTCACAAAAAGACTTAACCAACTTCTAATAACTGCCTTTATTATGGAGGTACTGCAGGATTAATATGAAGCCAATTCAAACATTTCCTAACCATTAATACATGTCAACACATGTGAAAGTACATTTCTTTGAGCATTTGCAAACACATGAAGAATAGCTAATTAGTGTGTTATTATGCATGTATTGACATTGAGTATGTTGTTTTTGGTAGTAATTAGTCATTATGGTGAAAGCATTAATAAATGTGTTAATTTATAGCTTGTTAAGTATGAATCATCCTTAATTAATTAATGTCTTGAAGGTTAACTATTAATGGTTAAATAAGGCTACACCAAGTACATCAAGATTGACTTGATGTACATTATAAAGTGCTACCCATTTTCCTAGAACGGCCACAGGACCCGTTTGGTCTGCAGAGCAACATGAAGCAGCTGTTTCTCTTACTGTTGCCGTAGTGTAATATCTTGGCAACACCATAGGGAAATCTAGGACAGCAGATCTGTATTGTGAGCCGGCAGTGCGACTGCAGAGAGGAGTCATTTGAACGGGACAAATACGTCGAATTGTAAGTGATTGATTTGTTGGGCCCTGGCGCCGCCTGTACACGACAAAAGATTGACCCGAGAGCCACCGGAGATTTCCATGAATTCTTCAAGTGAGTAAACAGCCACACAGCTCTAATGAGAAGAAGAAAGAAAAAAGAGAGGAAAGCTCATACTGATGTTTGAACAACAATAAGTGGAAGCTGATGAAAGCACCTATATCAGAATTTTTCACAGATTTGCCTTTGTGACTTTGAAGGGCCATCTTCTCTTCTGGGCTCCCTGCTGGCTGAGCAGCTGCTCTGTGCTTCGTTTAATAGCAGGCTGAGGAAAGAGGTGACAAAAACACGGCTGTATTTTTAGTCATCTGCCTGTTTCAGCAGTTTGAATTACTGTGGTTGCACACTAATCCATCTGCATTAGCCAGAGAGAGAGAGTGTCACGCCGTGGTTAGGGGATGGACAAGCCCAGCTCAGGTGTGTTTGTGAACTGAATTATCACCTGGAAATAAAAAAAAAAAAATCAGAAGCAAGGCACCTGAGCTGGAGATGGAGAGGAAGATTTGCATGTTTGCCTTGTTGGGGGGAGAGAGGCGGATAATGCTTTGTTCACCTGAAGGCTTAGAAAGATCCTGTTTGTCATACTGATAATGCAAATCACACCCAACATTAGAAAACTGTACAGTCAGAGAAAAGTTTGACTATTAATACATCAGCTTTGACATCACTTTTTGAAGTGTGACCATTTAGACAAGAAAATAAACTGTATACTGTCTGATGGAAGTACACATGGATGACACTACACAGCAAATTTGGAAGTGTTCCATCAACTCCTACAGTACAACTCCTAAATTCAACACTTTGAAAGTGTCTATATTGGTCCACTCTGGATGGTGTAGAAGTTACACTTTTGAAAGTGTTATCTGTGGTAGAGTTGAATCAACACTCACAGTAGTTGAAATCAAATACACTTCAGTGTTAATCTACCCAACAACTAGTGTATATTGTCAAAAGTTAACACTATGAATGTGTTAATGTAACACAGAACGGTGTAAAGTATATATTAACATAGAAATCTGAGTTTTGACATACTACTGGCAGGGTGTGCTGTGGTGGTGCAGGGGTTAAGCACAACCCACATATGGGGGCTCTAGTTTTCAATGTGGCTGTCGTGGGTTCAATTCCTGGTTTTCCCCTTCTCTCATTACCCACTTTTTTTGTCAACTTACTACCAAATAAAAGCCATTAGAGCAATTAAAACCTTTTTTTCCCCCAGAAACTATTGGCCATCAATAATCCCCAAATTAATTTTAAAAGACATTAGATGCTACAAAAACAACAGCACCAGTTGCAGTATATAATCTACTTTTATTTCAAAACAATATCAAACAGCACTGACAGCAATATACAACAAAGGCCATACATTCATGGTACTTTGCACTGAAGGTGAAGTGTGCTTTGAAAGTTCATTGGAAGCAGCCATAGATGGTCATGTGATCACTGATGGTGAAGTGTCTTTGGTGCTGCTCTTGTTTTCACCAACATGAAGGAGGAAGACTTTCAGCCTGTAAGGAAAAACAAGAAATATAGCAGAAACATTAGGATAATAAATAAATATTTTAAAAAGTAGTGTGAGCAAAACTAATCAGACTCACCTGTGTGTGTCACTGTCATATTCATTCAAATTACTCTGCCCACCTGGTTTACAAGATAAAGCATAAAAAAGTCAGAAATAATTACTAAAGAAATTAGTCAGCTTATAGAAAAAAATTTGGACAGCATTAAAAGTCGTGCCAACCTGTCTGAAGAAATGTTGAAGTCATCATAACAGGCTTCAGTCACCAACATGACACACTATCAAAGAGAAAACATTTTGGCAGTTTTTAGATGTGCCACAGGTACAAAACACCAGAGTCACTCCACTATGTCACTCCTCATTGTGTAGATATGTTCTCCAGAGTCCTGCTAATCACCTAATTATTCTA